AGAAGTGAAAGTAATAATGTATGAAACATGAAATTTAATTTTAGCTACTCTGACCATTACTGAAGTGAGAACAGATAAAATAAGTTGTAGTAAACATTGAATTCCTAAAAAAATACTTAAAAGTAGATCTTAGAAGTACTTAAGAAATATTTTTGGAAATGCCAGGATGACAGTGAAAATGATGGAGTAAGGACCTCTGAAAATTTATCCTTCCAGGAAAGCTGGCAAAAATTGTCACAACTTTTCCAGAATTCTGGAAAAGAACCAAAGATTTGCCTATTCAAGAAAAATGGCTGAATATCAGCAAGAATAATAAGTTTTATGGTATTTTAACTTGCTCTATTCTTATCCCCTTCTCTATAGCTCAGCAATAATCTTGAAAACTAAGAGCCCTGCATTCCTGGTATCAGAGGGAGTAAATTGGAGCTGGAGCTCTTTAAGACCTTCATTTTCCCAAGTTGTCACTATTTGACATCTTTGATGGTTCTCTGAAAGCACCAATAGGAAGAATTATCTTTATTTGATCTGGCTTGTAGTATGCCCAGTACTAACAGCCACTTCTCGGGGAGCAGTTGTCTAAAACAATTATAGACAAGAGTTTTGACCCCATAGCTGTTTGAACTGATGAATACCAGTTAAGGCAAACAGTAGACTAATCAAAGAGCTTACAAGGAGAGGTTGAAAGACATGTTATAGGTGTCTTGAAAAGCACCAGATTTTGGAAATCTGGAAGGCCATATGCATAGGGCTGTGCACATTCCCAGGAAAGTCCCACCTCTAGCAGACCTTGGCACTCAGGGCATATAGGAACTGAAAGCTAAGAGAGGGTTGTAAATTGCCTAGCTGAGTGTTGAAACCTGCCCCAACACACACAGAGAGCCACTCAGCAAAGACCTGGAGTTTTAGTCCAGGTGTTTAAGGAAATCTCTGTTCAATTATTAACTGCCTAGTAAGCGAACTAGACACTTCAGTGGCCTCACATAATAAAGAATACAGAGTTTACAGAATTTGTTCAGACAAATCGCTATACAAACAATAACAACAAGTACCAAAACAACAACCCTGGGAAGGGAGGAAGTATCTTATTTCTAGAGTGGCCACATTACGTTTTTTAAAATGTCCCAATTTTCAACAACAAAAAAATTGCAAGATCTACAAAGAAAGTATGGTTTATGCACAGAAACATACATGATGTTGGATTGCTAGACACAGACTTTTAGTCAGCTATTTTAAATATGTTAAAAGAGCTAAAGAAAAACATGCCTAGAGAACTAAAGAAAAGTCTGAGAATGATATCTCACCAAATAGAGAATATCAGCAAAGAGGTAGAAATTATTAAAAAGGAACCAAATGAAATGCTGGAGTTGAAAACTATAATAACTGAAACGAAAACTTCACTTGGGATTGATTAATAGCCAAATTGAACAGGCAAAAGAAAGAATCAGTGACTTGGAGATAGTTCAGTTGAGATCATTCAGTCTGAGGAACAGAAAGAAAAAAGAATGAAGAAACATCATTGGAGTCTCAAGAGACCTGTGTCATGGCGTCACGAGTGCCAACATATATAATGGAAGTCCCAGAAGGAGAGGATGAGAGAATGGGGCTCAAAGAATATTTTAAAAAGTAAAAGCTGAAAACTTCTCAAATTTGATGAAAAACATTAACCTATACATCAAAAAAACAAACTCCAACTTAGGGCAGCGTCCAAAAAAATGCACATATAGACTCATCATACTCAAATTGTCAAATGGTAGAGAATCTTGAAAGCAACAAAGAGGAGGTGATTCATCATATACAACTTCAAACAGATTAACAACTTGTTTCTTATTAGAAAGCATAGAGGCCAAAGACATTGTGATGACATATTCAAAATGATTAAGGGGGGAAATAACCGTCAACCAAGAATTCTATATCCAGAAATATTTTCCTTCAAAAATGAAGGAAAAGTAAGGTAAACAGGTAAACAACAACTGAGAGAGTTTATTGTTAGCAGACCTGCCCTAAAAAATATGGAAGTCTTTCTCATTGAATTGAAAGGACACTGCATAGTGACATGAAGAAACACTGGTAAAGTTTACTTCATAGGTAAATATAGAAAAGAGTATATATCTATTTTTGTTTGTATCTCCTTATGGTTCTTCTATTTTATTTAAAAAACAGCTGCATACACAAAAATGGTAATCCTCTTTTGTTGGGCAAAAAATATATAATGTAATTTGTGACAAAAACAACATGATTGTCTTAATACACAAAAAAATATTTGACAAAATCCAGCACCCTTTCATGATACACTCAACAGACTAGGAATAGAAGTGAACTTCCTCAATTTAAAAAGGGCATCTACCACAAATCTACAGCAAACATTCTATTGAATAGTGACAGGCTGCATGCTTTCCCCAAGGATGACCTTTTTCACCCCTTCTTTCAACGTTGTACTGAAAGTTCAAGACAGCCCAATTAGGCAAAAAAGAGAAAAGTATCCATGTTGAATAGTGAGTGAGGTCAGCAGGCTATAGGATACAAAAAGTCAATATACAAAAATCACATGTATCTTATATACTAATGAACTATCTGAAAATAAAATTTTAAAAGTTCATTTACAATAGCACCCAAATGAATGAAATACTTAGGAATAGAATTAGTCAAGGAAGTGTAATATTTGTCCTGGAAAGTACAAAACATTGAATGAAACTAAAGACCTATATAAATAGACATTCTGTGTTTATAGAAAGACTTAACATTGTTAAGATGGAAATACTCCTCAAATTGTTCTGTAGATTTAATGTAAAACCTATCAAAATACTAACCACTTTTTTGTAGAAATTAGTAAATTGATCGTAAAATTCATATGAAAATATAGGAGACCCAGAATAGCCAAAACAATCTTGAAAGAGAACAACAAAGTTGAAAGACTCAAATTTCCCAACTTTGAAACTTCTTACAAAGCTACAATAATCAAGAGAGTGTGGTGCTATTGTAAGAATAGACACGCAGGAACACTTGGCTGGCTCAGTCAGTAGAACATGCTACTCTTGATCTTGGAGTTGTGAGATTGAGCCCCACATTGGGTTTAGATTACTTGGGCGGGGGGGGAAGACATACTGGTTAATGAGAGGTTAATAGAATTGAGAGTCCAGAAGTTAACCCAACTGATGTTTAATTTTTTTTTTTTCTTTTTTACTGTTTATTTCTTTTTGAAACAGACAGCATGAGCAGGGGAGGGGCAGAAAGAGAGGGAGACAGAATCTGAAGCAAGCTCCAGGCTCTGAGCTGTCAGCACAGAGCCCCATGTGGCGCTCGAACTCACCAACTGCGAGATCATGATCTGAGGCGAAGTCGGACGCTTAACTGACTGAGCCACCCAGGTGCCCCTAAACCCAACTGATTTTTAACAAGGATGCCAAGACCATTCAGTCAGGAAAGAATAGTGTTTTCAACTAACGGTGCTAGGCACAACTGGTTATCTACATGTAAATGAATCAACCTGGACTCCCATCTCAGACCATATACAAAAACTAACAGATCAAAGACCTAAATGTAAGAAACTATAAAACTCTTAGTAGCAAACATAAGTGTGTATTTCTGTATTCTTGGATTAGGCAGCAGTTTCTTGGACAGGACACCAAAGCTCAAACAACCAAATTAAAAATAGATCAATTTGACTTCATCAAAATTAACAACTTTTGTGTATCAAAATACCTTAACAAGAAAGCTAAAAGAGGGACTTCTGGATGGCTCATTTGGTTAAGCATCTGACTCTTGATTTTGGCTCAGGTCATGATTCCAGAGTTGTGGGATCCAGCCCCACCTCGGGCTCTGCACTGGGAATGGAGTCTGCTTAAGATTCTTTTTCCCCCTCTGTCTTTCCCCCAAATGTGCTTTCTCTCTCTCTCTCTCTCTCTCTAAAAAATGAAAATGAAAATTTAAAAAAAGGTGAAAAGAAAATCTACAGAAATATTTACAAATCTTGTATCGGACAAGTGTCCAATATCCAAAATGTATATATACATTTTTTTTAAAAATTGCAACTGAACAATTAAACAAATTAGGAATGGGCAAAGGATTCATTTTTTCAAGGAAAATATACAAATGGTCAATAAGCATTTAAAAAGGTTCTCAACATCATTCATTATTAGGGAAATGCAAATCAAAACCAAAATGAGATACTACTTCACCATGCTTTGGATGGCTATAATAAAAAAAATGGACACTGGGTGTTATATGTAAGTAATGAATCACTAAATTCTACTCCTGAAACTAATATTACACTATTTATATTAACTAACTAAAAATCTAAATAAAAACTTGAAACATAAAACAAAAACTGGAAAATAATGATGGTTTTACTTCCCTGTGAATATTCTAAAACCTACTGAATTGTACGCTTTAATATGGTGAGTTCTGTAGTATAAAAATTATTTTTCAATAAATAAATGTCATCATAATAAATAATATTTATGCTCAGTTGATCATGGAACTGTTACGTGCTGTGTAGATTAACTTGAAAGACATAGATACAGATACATTTAATAGCAAGATGTATAAATATAAATTAAATATTTCCTCCTATGCAGCTACTGTATGACTGTTAAATTTTTTTAAGGTCAGGTTTATTGTGATCTAATATATATAATCTAAAATTCTTGTTAAACTCAAAGTATTTTATCCTCTTGATGCTGTAAACTGAGAAATACATCTCACTTAAACTTATGTTATCTTTAAAGGAACAAGTATAATAATAATGGACATTTATGAAAAGAAAATTGTTTACAGTCATGACTCAGTGATTCAAACTAATTGTTTACAGTCATGGTTATTCATGACTAATATAATTGCAGCTATCTAAAATTTCTTTGGGGAGTTGAGCAGATTTGTGGGATATGATATGTCACAATTTGAGCTTTTACATAGAGTTTTATTTGTATAAACTTTTATTCATGTAAAAAATGAATCTGTAAGTAGATGAAGATGATGATTCATATATATATACTTTTTTTCAGGTCAAGCAAATCAAGTAGCCAAAGAAGCCGCTAACAGATGGACTGGTATGTATTATGGCACCGATAAGCTATAGTTAAACTTTCTCCACACTTACTATGATGACATGCAGAAGCAATTGTGCCTAGTTCTGTTCAAGAAGAGACATTTTCAGAACTGTATGTATTGTTTTTATATATTCAATCATTTTGTTTTCTTAAGGTTATTTTTTTTAATCTTATGAATCATTTTCTAACGTACAACATATTTTTGTAAAACCAATGATTGCTTGGAGTTTAACTTTTGTGTAATTTTTCCTAGATAAGCCATTTGGGCTAATCATTTAACCTTCCTTATATTAATGCAAGATACTCTAAGAGTTTCATGGAATCTGAAAGATTTGTCTTCTTGCTAATGATAATAATAGCTAACATTTGTTGAGGGCTGACTATAAGCCAGGCATTGTAAAGAGTATCTGTGGTGCATTCTCATTTTCTCTCTGCAACAATCTTGTGAGGTAAATAGGATTATCATTCCTAATTTTAGAGATGGAACCGAAGCCCACAGTGACACAGATGCTAGGCAGTGGAACAGGAATTAGAATACAGCTTTTCTGATTCCAGAATCCGAGCTCTTAACCCACTACATGATACTATCTTCTCTGTATACCTGCTTTCATATAAATGCCTCATTAACCCATTTGCCAACGGATGTATCCTCTGGTCTACACTAGAGACGTTCTAAGAAATGGGAATTAATAAGGCATTTCTCTATGTCTTAAAGTTTAGAAGAAAGTTCATAAATAATGATTGTTGTCATTTATATACAGGTATGATTAGTATTGTTAAAACCTGTCTACAAATTAACACTGAAGTTTTTCCAGTATTATAAAGTAATGATAATTGAATTTTACCATCCTGTTATAAGAGTCTATAATGCCTTCACGTGTACTACTCATGCTTATTCTGCTTCTGTGGGAGAGTATGGGTAAGATTGTATTGATGCAGAGATCCAGAAAATTTAAAGTGACTGCTTTGAGTCAAAGGTGATTAGTCACTGGGTGTACAAAGATTTGCACGAGGTTTCCTGACTCCATGTCTAGGCCTCTGTATGTCACAAAATGTTTCAGAATCACTCTTCCTGGGGTGCCTGGGTAGCTCAGTCGGTTAAGTGTCCGACTTTGGCTTGGGTCATAATCTACCTGTTCGCGAGTTGGAGCCCTGCATCAGGCCCTGTGCTAACAGCTCAGAGCCTGGAGCCTGCTTTGGATTCTGTGTCTCCTCTCTCTTGGTGCCTCTCCTGTGTGCGTGCGTGCATGCTCTCTCCCTCTCTCTCTCTCAAAAATAAATAAACATAAAATTTCTTAATAATAATAAAAAAAAAGAATCACTCTTCCTAGGGGTGTCTGGGTGACTTAGTCGGTTAAGCATCTGCCTTCAGCTCAGGTCATGATCTCACGGTTCGTGGGTTCAGGCCCCGCGTTGGGCTCTCTGCTGTCAGCGCAGGGCCCACTTGAGATCCTTTGTCTCTCTCTCTCTCTGCCCATTCCCTGCTTGCACTCTCCCTCTCTCTCAAAAAATAAATAAACATTTAAAAAAAATTTTTTAAAGCACTCTTCCTTGTCTATTTTAGAATTAAGTAGATTGATAAAATCAGTGCAATTGGCTCCTATAAAATTGCAATCTTATTTATTACAAAAGTAATACATTTCATAAATAATGTAATGCTTAAGTGATAAGGAAAGAAGAGGGTAAAAACAGCAAGCTCCCATTAAAGAAAAGAGAAGAATGAAATGTATGTCCAATAAGTATAAATAAATAATAAATACAGTGATATCATATGGATTTGAGAAATACAAAATTTTGAGTGAGAAAAAAAGGCAAGTGGATTAAAAATAAGACAAGAGTCACAAAGTGATTTCTCCCAATAGTTCTCAGCAAAACAGCTCAGTAAGCAGCAGGAACATGCAGCCTGTGTGCATGGTGGGAAGAACTTGACTTTTGCAAGGAATCCAGATTGTGTTCCTTATTTTTGCTGTATGACTTATTGAACTTCTCTGAACCTGCTTCTTCATTGTAGATTATATGTACTTTACATTTTTTTTAAATTTTTTTTTAACATTTATTTATTTTTGAGACAGCATGAACAGGGGAGGGTCAGAGAAAGAGGGAGACACAGAATCCGAAACAGGCTCCAGGCTCTGAGCTGTCAGCACAGAGCCCGACGCGGGGCTCGAACCCACGGACCGCGAGATCATGACCTGAGCTGAAGTCGGACGCTTAACCGACTGAGCCACCCAGGTGCTCCTGTACTTTACATTTTGAGAGGATTAAATAAAAACAGTTTGTAAGCCCTTTAGCACAACATTAGACATAGAGATGAACAAATACTCCCCTTTTCCCATTCTCTTAAAAAATGCTTTTATTTTCCACTTGGTCATAAACTTCCAGTTATGATGAAAAAAAGGAACAATTTGAACAACTTCTTTTTCCCCTAACGTTATTAGCTTAGAAAGAACCTGAAACTTTTTTTAATGTTTGTTTATTTTTGAGAGAGACAGAGACAGAGTGCGAACAGGGGAGGAGCAGAGAGAGAGGGGACACAGAATCTGAAGCAGGCTCCAGGCTCTGAGCTGTCAGCACAGAGCTGGACATGGGGCTTGAGCTCACAAACTATGAGATCAAGACCTGAGCCGAAGGCGGATGCTTTAGGAAGGTGGAGGCAGATGCTTAACCGACTGAAACACCCAGATACCCGAACCTAAAACTTTTAAAATCATATAGGAAGGAAGATATTTTTAGCACAGCAGAAACAGCTGTTAGGAACCATGTTTCCATTTGAAGTTACAATTTGCTCCTTCCAACAGAAAAGTGTTATGGTAAGAATATGGAGTTAAAACAAATTGCACCTCAGAAAATCAACCTGTCTTCAAAACAAGCAAAAAGAAAACATCTTTAATACTTGTAACCAGAGATTATCCTGTAATTATTAGTTAAGGTTTGGTTTTCTTTTTACCTAAAAAGGTCCTTAAAATGTATCTAGAATAGAGGATGTTTACTGTTCAGTAATTTAGTATTTCAGTTTTATAAAATGAGAGATTACTTTAGGATATAAATGTAATAGAAATATCACATCTAAATGATTTATGGCATTAAATATACTTTCAATGTGATTTAACAAATTTTATAAAACTTTCATAATTAACATACTGAAGTTATGACTGTGTGTGAGAGGCATCTTAGTGAATGGTGGGGGGGATAGATGTTGTGAGATCATAAACAGACTCATGCATGCTATTGCCATCCTGTTTCTATATATATACTGGGTATACCACCATAGAAATTAACAGAAATTCTGCTAGTCTTGGGCCTCTTTCTTTAAGACACACATACACATACCTATTTTTTTATCCATTTATAAAAATTTCTACATAACAGGAAAACTATTTGACGGGAAATCAATTGTCAAGATTTTAGGTGACATTGTCTTGAAGGTAGACATCCAGCAGCCCAAGATATGTTCTTCATCAGTCTTTTTGAATTGGTCCATCAAGCATTGTGGCTGGGCTTTTATATGTTCTTTTGTTTGTTTTAATCTTTGGAGGTTTAATTGCTTCTTTGCCTTTTGGCTAAGATCAAGTGTAATCTTTGGAAGTTTATAATAAAATGGTTTCTTGCTCTCATGTGAACCCACACCTCCTTCGTACAAAGCCTGTAGTCTTACTGTGGTGAGTTCTGTCTTTCTGTCCCGATCCAGGTTTGAAGTTGCAGTGTTGCATCTGTTCTCTCATTTCCTGGAAATCTTTCTGTGCTTTCGGAGCCTGTTCTGGGTGCTGTGCACATAATACTTGATCTTTTCTCTTTAACATACATAACACTTTGGGATTATTTAGTAATAAATTGATTTTTCTCTCTCTAATCTTGTGTCAGCTTGAAGGCATAGGCTCTTTACATTATCAAGTACCTGTAATACACTTAATCCCTGTTTTATGTAGCAGTGGGTCCTATATAAGTATTTGACTGTGATTGACAAGAATGGATGGTGATGCAGACACTAGTAAAACTAAACAGATCATTCTGGAGTGCCTCATGTTATCAGAAGTCTCTCTTAGGTCCTCATGAAAACTAAAGATTAGTTTTAAATTGTTACATAAAGATTCATTTTTTAATTTCTGTTGTTATTCCATTATACTTTAATTGAAAGAATTGGGGATATTTCATTAATGTTATTCTATTTGATGTAGTAGTATTCACTTAGAAACAAACTTCATTCCAAACATTTAGTTATCATTATTTGATACTTGGAATTAAACTTCCTAAAACAGTATTTTTAAAGGTGATCAAACTGCATGTATTAATTTATTAAGGGTAACATAAAATATAGTCATACCTGACAGATATTGCAGGTTCGGTTCCAGAACACTGCAATAAAGTGAATAGTATAACAAAGTAAGTCAAATGAATTTTTTTCCCCACTACATATAAAAGTTACGTGTATTAAGTGTGCAAAGGCATTATGTCTAAAAAAAACAATGTACTTACCTTACTTTAAAAATACTTTATTGCTGAGGCGCCTGGCTGGCTTAGTCAGGTAAGCATATGACTCTTAGTTTTGGCTCAGGTCTTGATCTTGCGGTTGCATGAGTTCAGGCCGCGCATCAGGCTCTGTGCTGGTGACCTGGAGCCTGCCTGGGATTCTCTCTCTCTCCCTCTGTCTACCCCTTCCCCACTCACACAGTCTCTCTCTCAAATAAAATAAAATAAAACTTAAAAAAAATTTTATTGCTAAGAAATGCTAACTATCATCTGAGCTTTCAGCGAGTTGTAATCTTTGCTGGTGGAGGGGCTTGCTTCCATGCTGATGGCTGCTGACCGATCAGGGCGGCAACTGCTGGAGGTCAGGGTGTCTGCAGCACTTTCTTAAAATAAGACAACAATGAAGTTTGCCACATTGATTGACTCTTCCTTTCATGAATTATTTCCCTATAGCATGTGATGCTGTTTGCTAGCATTTTATCCACAATAGAACTTCTTTCAAAATTGGAGTCCCTTCTCTCAAACCCTGCTGCTGCTTTATCAGTTAAGTTTGTGTAACATTCTAAATCCTTTATTGGTCATTTCAACAATCTTCACGGCACTTTCTCCAGTAATAGATTCCATCTCAAGAGATCGCATTCTTTGCTCATCCATGAGAAGTAATTCCTCATCTGTTGAAGTTTCTCATGAGACCGCAGCAATTTAGTCACATCTTCAGGCTCCACCTCAACTTCTAGTTTTCTCCCTATTCCTACCACATCTGTAGCTACTTCCTCCCCTGAAGTCTTGAACCTCTCAAAGTCATCCTTGAGAGTTGGAACCAACTTTTTCCAAACTTTTGTTAATGTTGATATTTTGACTTTTTTCCTTGCATCATGGATGTTCTTAATGGCATCTAGAATGGTGAATCCTTTCCAGAGGTTTTTAATTTACTTTGTTCAGATTCATCGGAGGAATGACTGTCTATGGCAGCTATAGCCTTCTGCAGTGTATTTCTTAAAAAAGAAGACTTGAAAGTCAAAACTACTCCTTGATCCATGGGCCACATAATGGATGTCGTGTTAGCAGGTATGAAAACAACATTAATCTCCTACATCTCCATCAGAGTTCTTGGGTGACCAGGTTTGTTACCAATGAGCAGTAATATTTTGAAAGGAATCCTTTGTTCTGTGCAGTAGGTCTCAAAAGTGGGCTTAAAATATTCAGCAAACCATGTTGTAAACAGATGTGCTGCTGTCACCCAGACTTACTTTCATTTATAGAGCACAGGCAGCGTAGATTTAACCGAGTTCTTAAGGGCCCTAGGATTAGGGGAATGGTAAATGAGCACAGACTTCAGCTTAAAGTCACCAGCTGCATTTGCCCCCAGCAAGAGAGTCATCCTGTTCTTTGAAGCTTTGAACCCAGGCACTGACTTCTCCTCTCTAGCTACGGAAGTCCCAGATGGCATCTTCTTTCAGTAGAAGGCTGTTTGGTCTACATTGAAGGTGTAGCCACCTTCATGAATTATCTTAGCTGGATTTCCTGGGTAACTTGCTGCAGCTTCTGTATCAACACTTGCTGCTTCCTCTTGCACTTTCATGTGATGGAGATGGCTTCTTTCCTTAAGCCTCATGAACCAACCTCTGCTACCTTCAAACTCTTGCTGCAGCTTCCTCACCTCTCTCAGCCTTCACAGGAATGAGGAGAGTTAGGGCCTTGCTCTGGATTAGGCTCTGGCTTAGAGGGAATGTTGTGGCTTTTTTTGACCTTCTGTCCAGACCACTCACACTTTCTCCACATCAGCAATGAGGCTGTTTCACTTTCTTAATCATTTGTGTGTTCATCAGAGTAGCAGTTGTAATTTCTTTCAAGAACTCTTTCTTTGCACTCACGACTTGGCTGTCTGGCACAAGGGGCTGAGTTTTCAGCCTGTTTTTGGCTTTTGACACACCTTCCTCATGAAACTTAATCATTTCTAGCTTTTGATTTAAAATGAGGGATGTGCAACCCTTCCTTTCACTTGAACACTTAGATGACATTGTAGGGTTTATTCATCGGCCTAATTTCAGTAATGTATGTCAGAAAAATAGGGAAGTCTGAGGAGAGGAGAGAGATGGGGGAACAGCCAGTTGGTGGGACCATCAGAACATACAAAATATTTAATTTTGCTGTCTCATATGGGTACAGTTTGTGGCACCCCAAAGCAATTACAATAGTAACATCAAAGATCACTGCTCACAGATCACCATAACAAATATAATAATACTAATGAAAAAGTTTCAAGTATCTGAAAATTAGCCAAAATGTGACATAATAAATATCTGAAGTGAGCAAATGCTGTTGGAAGAACGGTGCTCATAGACTTGCTAACATACAGTTGCCACACACCTTCAGTATGTAAAAAATGCACTGTCTGCAAAGTACAATAAAATGAGGTGTGCCTGTGCTCCAGGCTGGGTGGCTTAAACAAATGAAATTTATTTTGTCACACTTGTGGAGGCTGGAAGGCCAAAATCAAGGTGTTAGCTGGTTTGATTTCTTCTGAGGTGTCTTTGGCTTGTAGGTGGCCATCTTCCTGTGTCTTCACATGGTCTTTGCTGTGCATACTCATGATATCAGTGTATCTACATTTCCTTTTCTCATCAGGACACTGAGCAGATTGGATTAGGGCCCACCTTAACAAGCTCATTTTAACTTAATCATCTCTTTGAAGACCCAGGTTCTATTCTTAGGTACTGGATTCTAGGACTACAATTAATTTGAATATGAATTTGGAGGAGGTGACACAATTCAGCCTGTGACACTCCAGAGGAACCTCTTCTAACCCTTCACTATCACTATCAATACAGCACTTAACATTTTGTGAAATATTCTGAACCAGAAAACTTCGCACCATCATTTCTCTATAAAACATGTTCATTGTAAAGGTGGTGTGTATACGTTAGAGAAAATGTGTGAAAAAAACACACAGAAACCTCACTGTCACCCCGTTCTCCAAGTGCAGGCACTGTGAGCCTGTTGGTGTTACCCTGCTTCCCTCACTGCCTGAGCGGAGATGCCCTTCCAAGAGTTTAGATATTTAGATTGCTTTTATGTTTTCTTTTATTACACTGCTGTAAAGATTAACTATAAATCTTTGTACACAATTTATTTTGTTTCCTTGGGATAAATTCTTTTAAGTAAATATAACACTTTTTTTCTAGCGGCAAAATGCATTTAAATCCCACCTAGAGGACAATAAGGCTACATCTATTCCTACCTTCGTCTAAAAATAGGCAAACTACCTTCTGTTCTCTTCACCCATTCTCCCTCACGCTGGACTGATTATCTGGAAATCATTATTATTTGTGGGGAAGGGGAAAAGGTCTGGAGAGAATGTGTACCCTCTGGGAACAGGAGTAACTGTAATTCCCGAGGTAACAGAGTCCCAGCCTGTGCTGTGGAAATGTGGAAGAGACACCATTGTTAGCCTTTCCCTGTTTTTGGATTATTCTTAATGCAGGTAGTCTTTTTGCTGGCAGCTAACTTGCTGAATGTTTAAATATGCGATTTGGTTACTTAAAATACTAATTATTTTCTTCTGAAATTAATTGCCATGACTTTTGAAAATACAGCAAAATTCTTATGTTGATACTTCTGAAAGTAATAGAAGTAACAGAATATAGTTATACTTGAAATGTTTTATGATTGTGTTTTCAATTCTTAAAAGTATTTCTCAATTTTCTTTATAGATAATATATTTGCAATAAAATCTTGGGCGAAAAGAAAATTTGGTTTGGAAGAAAATAAAATTGATAAAAATTTTGGAATTCCAGAAGACTTTGACTACATAGACTAAAATGTTCGATGTTGGGAAAGGATCTGTGTACTTGTGAATATGTGATTTTTAAAAATATTATCCAACTAAATGTACTGAATTGCCATTTACCTATAACTGTGTTGTGTTGATCATTTTGTTAATTTTAAATAAAGTATAATGTGGAGATATTTTTCACTCTTTTTGATCTATCAAAAGCACAATTATAACCATATTCCCAAGTGGTCATCAAAGTAGGTTTGTGCAAACAAAATCATCCACTTAAGTTGGGTTTACAGATGATTTTTTAGAGATCAAATACATCATGACTTGACAGCATTTTTTAAGTTCATTCAAATATTAAATATTGACAACTAAGGGTACCTTTGAAGGTTCTACCACCGACATACATGGACACATTAATGCTTGGAAATAACCTTTAAAACTTTAATGCGTGGTTTACTATTTTTCATTACTTGGTGGAAAATGCATGTGATTGATTTTCAGTGTGAGTCTCAGTATACTGCATCATATTTGCAAATTTCCTATAGAATAAAATGCAGAATGTTGGTATATTCAAGTTTAGAGTTAGGTAGTAATTCCTCAGTCCTGAAAACTACTTTCTTTTGACTTTTTGATGTCCTTTTACTGTAAAGAACAAACACCTGGCCCTTTGTCCTGATTAATGCACTTTTTAATTGGATGATATAGTAGTATTAGTATGGCACACATCACCCAACTGGCATTCAGGGATTTTTGTTTTTCAACTACCTAAAAAAGAGTAAATTAAAAATAATGTCTGTCCTTTGTATATAATTTTTTTCCAATTCCGCTTGGGTATTTAAAGTATTTGTAGCACTCCAAGAAAAACTTACAGAAAAAAACAAAACTAATGTGTGCAATGCACTTTACACACATGCCTTAATTTTTTTTCATACTAATTTTGATGTTCTTTGAAGTAACTCGAATGAGATACTCCATATATCCGAAATGACCCAAATAGCATCCGAACCATTTGTTGGTGAATCTGGCCTTTGTATTGCATAGAGTTACTCTGGGCCTTCTTAATTACTTCCTGGAGGTGGGCGGGAGCAAATTGGTCTATCTTTGTTCTCAAGGCTACTTTTATGTTGCCTTTGGGCAACAGCTCTTTTCACAGAAGAAAGTATTTGATATAAGAGACAAAGGACAAAAAATAAAAATAACCCATCATAAGTCTTTCCCCAAAACACTAATTGTGGAAATTCCAAAATTACTCACCGTTTGCTATTTATTAGAAAATATAATTCTTTGTTTAAAGAGAAGGGATGTATGTTCAAAAAGGACGGCATTTCTAGTGATCCCTAAAAGATTTTATTTTATAAATATTTAGGCACCTTTTTGGAGGCACTTTAAAAATTGAAGTATAATTAACGTACAACATTATATTAGTTTCAGGTGTATAATATAATGAGTGGACATTTGTATACTTTGCAAAATGATCACCATAGTATATCTAGTTACCATCTGTCACCATATAAAATTACACAATTTTTTTTCTTGTGATGAGAACTTTTAAGATTTACTCTTAGCAACTTTCACATTTGCAATACATTATTGACTATAGTCACCATGCTGTACATTACATCTCTCTGACTTATTTTCTAAATGTTTGTTTATTTTGAGAGGGAGTGCAAGTGGGGAAGGGGCAGCAAGAGAGGGAGGGTGAGAGAAAGAGAATCCCAAGTAGGCTCTATGCTGTCAGTGTGGAACCAGATGTGGGGCTGGAACCCACGAGCCATGACCTCAGCGGAAACCAAGAGTCAGCCTCTTGAACAACTGAGCCACCCCAGTGCTCTATTTTTGTAACTGGAAGTTTGTACCCCTTGATCCTCCTCCCACATTTCACCACCCACACACACACACCCCTCTGGCAACCACCAATGTATTCTCTTTATGAGTTTAGTTTTGTTCTGTTTGCTTGTTTTATTTTTTAGATTCCACATATAAGTGAAATCATGTGGTATTTGTCTTTCTGTCTGACTTATTTCACTTTAGCATAATACCCTCTAGGTCCATCTATATTGTTGCAAATGGCAAGATTTCATTCTTTGAGCAGTATTCTGTTGTGTGTGTGCATGTGTTTGCGCGTGCATGTACCACATCTTTTTTTTTTTAAATTTTTTTAATGTTTCTTTATTTTTAGAAAGAGAGGGAGGCACAGAATCTGAAGCAAGCTCCAGGCTCTGAGTGTCAGCACAGAGCCCAATGTAGGGCTTGAACTCACGAACCATTTGATCATGATCTGAGCCTAAGTCAGACTCTTAACTGACTGAACCATCCAGGTGCCCCTCCCACGTCTTCTTTGTCTATTCATCTGTGGATGGACTTAGGTTATTTCCATGTCTTCGCTATTATACGTAATGCTGCAAAAAACCTGGGGATACATATCAAGTTAGTGTTTTCCTTTTCTTTGGATAATTGCCCAGAAGTGGAAATGTTGGATCATATGTTAGTTCTATTTTTAACTTTTTTAAGAACCTCCATACTGTCTTCAATAGTGGTTGCACAAATTTACACTTCTACCAACAGTATGTGAAGCTTCGTTTTTCCCACCTTCTGACCAACACTCGTTATTTCTTGTTCTTTTGATAATAGCAAATCTGACAGGTGTGAGGTGATATCTCATTGTGATTAGTGATGTTGAGCATTTGCTCACCTGTCGTTGGTCATCTGCATGTCGTCTTTGGAGAAATGTATATTCAGATCCTCTTCATTTTCTAATTGGATTATTTTTATTTTTTGTTGGTATTGAGCTGTACGAGTTCTTTGTATTTTGGATATTAACTCCTATTAGATATATGATTGACAAATGTCTCCCATTCAGTAGGTTGCCTTTTAACTTCGTTGACAGTTTGTTTCACTGTACAGAAGCTTTTTAGTCTGATATAGTCCCATTGTTTTATTTTTGTTTTTGTTGCCTTTGGAATTGTATCCAAACAAAATATCCCCAAGAGCAGCGCCAAAGAGCTTACTGCCTATGTTTTTTTGTAGGAGTTTTATAGTTTCTGGTCTTATATTCAAGTATTTAATCCATTTTGAGTTAATTTTTGTGTATGGTGTAAGATAGTGGTCCAGTTTCATTTTTTTTGCATGTGGCTGTCCAGTTTTCCCATCACCATTTATTAAAGAGACTACCCTTACCCGCATTGTATATTCTTGCCTCCTTTGTCATAAACCAAGCATATATGCTTGGGTTTCTTTCTGGGCTCTCTATTCTGTTCCATTGATTTTTGTGTCTATTCTTATGCCAATACCATGCTGTTTTGATTAGTATAGTTTGAAATTGGGAAATATCATACCTTCAGCTTTGTTCTTTCTCAAGATTGCTTTGCCTATTTGGGCTTTTTCTGTTAGTTTGTTGTTAGATTATAAAGACATAAAAGGTTTTTGTTTATTATGTACCCTGCAACTTTACTGAATTTGTTTACTGTAATAGTTTTTTGGTGGAGTTTTTAGGGCTTTCTGTGTATAAAATCATGTCCACAAATAGTGATAGTTTTACTTCTTCCTTTCTAAATTTGAGTGCCTCTTATTTCTTTTTCCTGCCTAATTGCTCTGGCCAGGACTTCCAATACTGTATTGAATAAAAGTAGTGAGAGTGGGCATCCTTGTTTTGCTCTTGATCTTATGGGAAAAACTTTCAGCTTTTTTGCTGTTGAGTATGATGTTAGCTATGGACTTATCACATATGGCCTTTATTATGATGAGTTATGTTCTGTTTATATCCACTTTGTCAAGAGTTTGTATCATAAATAGATGTTGAATTTTGTCAAATGCTTTTTCAGCATCTGTTGAAATGAGCATATAATTTTTGGTTTTCATTTTGTTAATGTGGTATGTCACACTGATTTGCAAATGTGAAACCATTCTTTTATCCCTGGAATAAATCTCACTTGGTCATGGTGTATGATCTTTTTCTTCTTCTTCTTTTTTTTTTTTTTAATTATTATTTTTACTTTTAGAGAAAGACTGAGCAGGGGAGAGGAGCAGAGGGAGAGAGAGAGAGGAAAGCGGAGAGCGAGAGCAAGAGAGAGAGAGAGAGAGAGAGAGAGAATCTTAAGCAGGCTCCACACTTGATCCTGGGATAATGACCTGAGCCAAAATCAAGAGTCGGACACTCAACTGATTGAACCACCCAGGCACCCTAGTGTATGATCTTTTTAATGGGTTGTTGAATTCACTTTCCTATATTTTGTTGAGGATTTTGCATCTAGGTCCATCAAGGGTATTGGCCTGTAGTGTGTGTGTGTGTGTGTGTGTGTGTGTGTGTGTGTGT